TTAGCAAATGGCTGCAATATAACAAAGAGTGAAAAATTTAAGGGGGTCTGAATACTTTCCGTACCCACTGTATATGCAGATGGCACCCAGTTATATATTCCAATAGATCCAAAAGGCTCTTAGTCCTTTGAAGGACTTGTTCAGTGTTTAGGTGAGATTAGAGCCTGGTTGGCAAGCAATTTTCTTCACCTTAATACTAATAAGACTGAGTGCGTTGTCTTTGGACCCTCCTTTGCTTCAAAGGAAATTATAAGTAAGTTGGCCTCTATGATGGTAGGTGTTTCAGATCATGTCAAGAATTAGAATTGACAAAAACGAGAATTGAGTATGCATGCATACAGCAATGTACAGCATACACAGTAACAGTATGCAAAGCTGTTCCAATCATATCTGTTCATCTACGTGTGGCCTGTCTGTGTGTCTCAGCTTCCCTCAGATCTCCACATAAGTTATAAGTCAAAAAGAGCTAAATAAGCTCTTTTTGCACTAGACAATAAAGCAGACTTGACTTGACTTGACTTGACTTAATCTCCAGCTGAGGTTCATCTGTCGTCTCATGTCTGCTGATGGTTTGAGCAGCGAAGCTCCATGTCGCCCTCGTCTCAGATGGTTCCGCTTGGACAAACGCAGGGCATCGTGGGGGTCGGCAGGTGTTCTGCGCGCAGACCGCAGGCGAGAGCAGGTGGCGCTCTGACACACCGCTTCTACAGCACAATCACACAGCTTTTACAGCGGCATACACTGCTGCATGAGTCATCATGGGAAATGTCCTCCAGCTGTCTGTCTTCACTAGTACATGTCAGCTGTGATGGCCAAGAAGAGCAGAAACGCTCCGAACGCATGACTAACGCTAGTGCTTCCACCAGCACTAACAGACCGTCTGTGGGCGATCGGGATTGGGATGATTTCTGGAGAAAATCTGAGCAGTGTTTGTGTTTATTAATGGAAAACTAGTTGTTGTCGGTGGTTTTAGTGTGCTGCTATGCAGTTGCTCAGGTGTTGTAGGTGGTTGCTAGGGGGTTGCTAAAGTTTCCAAGTACCGTTTCTATCAATTTTACATTGAAGCCCATTGAAGCCACATTAAAATCATGCTAAATCATGCATGAAATCAAAATGATTTAAAAAGCTAAAATTAAGGCATAAAAACAAATTATGAGATAAAAACGTATAATTATCAGAATTTGATTCTGAATCATGCATGAAATCAAAATGATTTTTTAAAAATCAAAAACGTAGACATAAAAGGAAATTACGAGATAAAATCATAATTATGACAATTAGATTTTTTTCATAATTTTAACTTTTATCTCATAATGACTTTTTATCTCATAATTATGATTCAGTATGCCATAATTTTGAAATTTTCCTCACATAATTATGACCATGTCATAATCTTAACTTTTTTTTAATCTCATAATTGACGTTTTATTTAAATTTTAACTGTCATGATTGACCTTTTATCTCATAATTGATTTTATCTGACACAATTGACTGTCACAATTTAGACCTTTCCCTCAGATAATTATTACTTTTTTGTCATATTTTTTACTTTTTATCTCATAATTAACTTTTTATCTCTTAATTATGGCTCTGCACCCCTTTACCTAAATTCATTACTTCAGAGTTATGTGCCCTCTAGAAGCTTGCGTTCTGCAAGTGA